TGGGCCACTGTGCCACCCAAAAGGCATGGGGTACAGGGATGTGGAGGGTCAGGGGGTGGAAGGGACAAATGGGCCACTGTGCCACCCAAAAGGCACGGGGTACAGGGACGTGGAGGGTCGGGGTGGATGGGACAAATGGGCCACTGTGCCACCCAAAAGGCACGGGGTACAGGGATGTGGAGGGTCAGGGGGCAAGAGGGACAAAGGGGCCACTCACCTGCCTCGTACACCAGTGTGTTGGCCTTAGCCAGGCCCACCTTGTAGCACAGGTACACTGCTGGGCCCCACTGCCCCAGAGATGGCAGGAGACAAGCGGATACATAGCTAACAAAGGTTTCTGGGGTCCATTTTCTCTCCACCACCCCTAACTGGCCTTTGTCTTCAGAGCACCCAATAATCCCTGTTCCCCAAGACCAGCATCACCCTCTGGGCCCACCCCTGCTACTAGAGGCCCTCTGGGCCGTGTCCACACCCTCGCCCCGAGACGGCCCCCAGGCCCCACTCACCATGCCGGGGTTGAGGTTGCGGGGCAGTCGGCAGTAGGTATGAGGGGTGCCCTCCCCCTTGCTGGGCAGGACCAGGCACAGGTCAGTGATGCCCAGGGCATGCAGCCCCGCCCCCTCTGCGGCCCGCCGGTAAGTGAGGTAGGTGCGGGGGTGCCCAGGGCCCGGAGGGGCCAGGTTAGCTGAGTGGCTGTAGGGTGTCGTGTCTAGTACTCGGAAGCCAGGCTTGGGACGCTCCTTCCCCTCATACAACACCCTTGGCGCAGAGCAGAGAAATGTCGGGAGTTCAAGACAGAGGCGAGAGACCCCAATCCTGGCAGATCTGCCTATTTCCCCAGAACTGCCTTGTACCCTCGCTCTCGTCAAATCCCGACACCAGGGCTCACCTCTTCTTCGCTGAACTCTGCCCTCCAGGAGCCTGTGCCCCCTCTTCTGCCTGTGGCTCTTCTTGGTTAGTAACAACGCCTCATGCCTTCCACGGCTCTCAAACTCATCGATAAATACTAACAATAATAAAAGCTACCACTCGTTGAGTCTTTTAATCTCCTCAGCCACCCTACGAGAAGCTATTATCCCCATTTTACAGACGAGGAAACATACTCAGAGAGGCTCGATAACCTGCCCAGGATCACACAGCTAGCAAGTAGCTGCACCAGTACACAAACGTGAACCTGCGTGATGACTCAGTACCTGCAACTTTAGTGCCTGGGCCCTGGCCTCCGCCCCCTTTCCCACTGCCTTTCCCTCATCCCATAGCCCTAGCTCTCCGCACCTGACCCAGGCCCCCTCCCAGCCTCCCCTGGTGCCAGCAGGGGTAGGGGCACACACCCTAGCTCAACGAGTGGGGGCTTGTCACGGCCCCTGCGGTAGCAGATGACGGGTTGAGTTCCACCCAGGAGCCCAGCACTGAGTTCCAAGGGGTGGCCGCCGGCAGAAGCCTGGATGCACGTGTAGCCCTGAGGCACTTCCTCGCCCAGGGCCCTAGCGATGACCGCCACATCTGTGATGGGTTCAGCTGGCCGGGGAGGGCGCAGGGACCCACTGGGTTCAGGAACCCGCGTTTCCTCAGGGATGGGTGCCCCGTTCCCTGCAAGCCCAGCTACCACGAAGTAATCCACCAGCCGAGGGGGCCGCTCCTCTGCCATGGCCCCCCCTTCACTCACTGCATCTGGAATGGTCAAGGGGGAGAGATGAAGCAAGGAAAGTGGTGTTACCATGGCAACCAGGGTATCCTCTTGCTCCCCTCTTCCTAGACCATCCAAGGTAAGGCGGGATAAGTGGTTAGCCAATCCTGAACTCTCCCACCTGTGACATCACCAGGCCCTCACAGCCCACCACAGCTCCTTAAAGAGACCAGCCCTCTCCCTAAAGAACCCAAACTCCACTCCACCACACACAGCTAGCCTGGGTGCTGACATCATATTGTTCATGTATCCCTTTGAAAGGTCTCACCCCTCCTCACTCTCAGACACATCACGGAGATCCGTCTTTTCTGTAATGGTCTACAATGACATCATTCGTTCTGGCCATGACATCATGCGTCTTGTTAAGGGTTTCTCACCTTCCCACTCTGGTTACAACATCATAAGAACCTTGTGATCCAGCTAAGGTTCTTAAAGCGCCCACCTCTACGTTTTCATGAGGACCCCACGGGTTTCGTGAGGACCCCACAAAACCCAAGCTTTCGTGTCTTTTCACCAGACTCAAGCGTCCTTTTTCCTAACCTATCTTCATCAACCTGGCCAAAGAGCCAGTGCCCTCTGACCTGTAGGACCCCTAATTAGGTCCAAAATAGCCATGAGAGACAGTCGCGGCCATCCCCATGCCCTCCTCCATGGAGCCCAGAGATCTCCGGAAACAAGCCCAAAATGGGCCCTCAGCTCCCCTGTTCTCACCTGCCTCCATGGCCCAGCCCTGGGGAGTAGGTGTCCCCAGGGCCCTGGGGAGCCCCAGGATGCAGAAGCTGGGAAAGAGCTTGGTGGGTGGCTTGTAGCAGGGGCCGGGAGGGTGAGGGGTGCTGGAGAGGGGAAGGGAGGTGACTTCCTGTAACAGTCAAGGGGAAGCTGCAGCTCAGCGGAAGTCAGCCTATGGGTATGGGTGTGTGTGTGTGCGCGCGTGTGTGCGTGTGTGTGTGTGTGTGTGTGTGTGTGTGTGTGTGT